TATTGTCTCTTTATATCTTAGTTGGATTCTTAGAATAGTGTGATTAAAAGACTGCTACAGAGAGTAGAAAGGATCCAGGCCTCTAGTCACAACGGGTTCTTTTCCAGAAACTGACAGTGACTGTGCAATTTCAAGAAAAATGGCCTGGATTTTCACATTTGTCAGTGTTATTCATTAGAAGTGGACCAAGTGTCTCATATAGGGTTAGAGTCAGTGGTCTTTGGAAGTGAGAATCACGCTTAGTACAGCAAACTGAGCTATCCTTGCAAAAAATTTAGTGCTTCAGTTAATGTGACCTCACATTTTTCTTCCCAGCTTGTAACTTCAACCCCATGTTATGGATCTAAAAGTTCTTTCATAGTATCTCCTTCTATTGTAATGAGATGCAAAGTAAAAGCCCAAAGACTTTACCTCCAAAGGGATTTTTTATTTTGTTTTTCCTCCCCTTTTGGAATTATCATTCTTTGGCCAGATGGAATTAATTCAACTCAAAGGACCTTCTCTTAAGAAAAGAAAAAAGCAAAGACTATTTTCATTTCTTATGTCTCCTCTAGGTGCCCTACTTAGGTTTTATAAGAGATAGTAGAGTTGTGTTCACTGGTAGAATAGGCTTTTACATCTCACTATTTCTTCCAATACTAGTCATCACCTTTATTTACACCCCTATATTGAAAAGTCTTAAAGGAAGAAAACATGAAATAGGAAGCAATAATAAATGTCTGTGTTTTAAGAGCTTAAGTATCAATAAATAAAAGTTACTATAAAGATAAGGAACTGCAGACACTCTGAATATCTGTTAGAATTCTTGGCATCATGTCATTAGGACATATTTGCCGTGCATTGATTGTGCAAAAGACTGGTCTATTCTGATGATCATATGGGTTAGTAGCGGGCATATGCCATGGAAAGCCTCCTCAGAGTAGACTGCTTCCTCTCATGCTTTCATAGGACCTAGTAGACGTCTCCATTATCGAGTTTATCTCACTGTAAACTCTAAGGAGAGGGTTATATCTTATCACTTATTAAGATAGTGCCTAAAACAATAGGTACCTACTGAATATTTATAGAATAAAGAGGGAAGACAGGACCTGTCTATAAGTAAGATGAATGAAGACCATTTCAGCCAGAGAGTATGTTGTGAGCAAAGAGAAAGACTTAGAAAACTTTAGTTGAGAAATGATCACTTGGTTCAATTTGGTAAAATATCATGTATGAAGCCAGCATTGGAAGCTAAAGTTGGAAAGGTAGAATAAGTAGGATTTCACAAATCATTGTCAAGTTGGGAGTGGTGGTGATGATTCCTTCAGTTTAGAGCCTAACTGACCAGAATGATTGTGATCTCCTTAAAATAAATTGAAATTGAGAGGAAAACATATTTGAAAGAGAAGGAATATTCCGTTCTGAAAAATTGAATTTGGAGTGCCAGTAGAGCCTCAAGACACAGGTAAAGAAATCTAAGTGGAAACAGAATAAGAAGCTTAGGAGAGCAAGGTCAAAGCCAGAGGAAACACATTTGGCAGTCAGACCTGCAGAAGTGATGGTGCAACCAAGGATCAGATGAAAGTGCCGACTGGGGAAAGATGCGGAGAGGATCACAACAAAAGCACTGAGGACACAACCCGAAGACCTTGAGAAGGAAAGATAACGAAAGCATGAGAGAGAGAGAGAGAGAGAGAGAGAGACAGACAGACAGACAGACAGACAGAAGGATCAAGAGAATTGTGTGTCCCCCCATAAAACGGAGGGTGCTTGTGGGGGCGAGTGCAGCATGGCTTGAGGAAATGGCTGGATTTTGTAGTCAAGAGTTGCATTCAGGTCTTGCTCATGCAACTGTTAGCTGCATGATCTGCAGGCAGTTACCTAAGCTCTTGGGCCACTGTTTCCTTTCTGCAAGATGGGAATAACATCTCAGTTGTTGTTTTGTTAATTTAAATAGTTCAAACATGATTCTTTAATACTTTTAAATCACCCTATTTTATTAAAATAATAATCACCAATAAAAAGGAAAATTTGGAGTTATCATCTAAGTTCCTTATGTACATGCAATTATTATATATTACAAAATGTATTATTTTAAAAGCATCCTGTTATCAGCACACGATTGAAGACTTAAGAATTTTTGAATTACGTATTTTATAAAGGAATACATTGTCTTTTGCCCACTGTCCTCTGAATAAAGCAACTTGAATTTAAATATAATTCACTCTGTTTCATGAAACTTAATTTTTTGAGCACCTGCTGTATACCCAGCTCTCTACTGGCTCTTTTTGACTAAGCTTCTCTACCCAAAGCTTTTGCTTTCTTAAGGTGTTTATTATGCTGTGTCCTGTTTAGGCACCACTGATATTCAACCAACATGGGGAACTTCAGGTTTCTAAGTGATCTTAAATTTATAGCATTTGTGATTTTTCTAGTACATTCTATTGACATTATCTTTTATTTTTTATTTATTTTAACTTTTAGTTATTAAAGTAAAATTATTTTTAAACCATTTTATTGACATATGATTGACATACAAAAAGCAGTAAATGCTAAATGTATACAACTTGATGACTTTGGAGGTAAGTATACTCTGTGAAACCATCACCACAATCTGTGCCATAAACCTATTCATCACCTCCAAAAGGATCCTCCCACCCTCTTTATTTATTATGAGAAGTAAAATTATTATTTTATTGAGGCACATTGTAAATTTTTGCCTCAGAAAATATTATTTGGTATAAAATTAACTTTTCCATGTCTCAACATCATTCACAAAATGCATTTTAAGTGGCATTTTTTAGTTTTATTAGAAAAGGAAACAATGACGCTTTTCTTACCTTTCTCATTAGGGTAATACATTAAGAAAAATACTCCTGAATCGATATTTTAAAGGTGATTATGGAGTTGGTATGAATGGACACCTGTCAGGAACCTACTCCAAAACTGCACAAGTGGGAGGTAATGCTTGTCACTTTTTTTCTAATTTTAGGATTCTCATGACATATCTTCACGTCACTGTTACTTTAGTATTTTACTTAAATGGCACAAATATAAAAAATTTTCTTAAAAACTTTCTTAAAAAATTTTCTTAAAAAATTTAATTACATGTGTCAGACATTTAATTAACAGTTCTATTTTTACGAATTTTGTATTTTTTAACTCTGGCTTCTATTATATTTAACTTCGTAGGGAAAAAATCTCAATGATAAATATTCTTGTTTAAGAATTTGAAAACTTTATATGCTAATAATGCCTGTAATTACTATTCATTTATTTATTTTTCTAATCACAGGAAGTTTTTCTGGACAAGATTCAGATAAGATGGGGATATCAATGTCAGATATTCAGTGTCTGCTGGACAAAGAAGGTGCATCAGAACTTGTCATCGATGTCATAGTGAACACCAAAAATGACAGAATTTTTTCTGAAGGCATTTTCCTCGGCATTGCCTTGCTTGAAGGAGGAAACACACAAACGCAGGTACCTGTTTATGAATCATGGGCATTACATCTATTATTTGTATTTCTTATTTACTTGTTATAGAAACTGAGGAAAAATAGTGTTTTTCTTTTAGTTTCTCATTACTGTCTCAGAACACATGTATCACATTGTTCTTTTATGGTTATTTGATTTGCTATAGAAACCACAGGGCTTCAACAATTTATTCAGTACAGCAGAACATTCCCTGGACGCATCCTTCTGACATTATTCCAGTAATTCCACTACAGGGAGCAATATTCCCACCTGCACACAGGAGATTAGACCACTATTTCCAGAAGCCACACAGTTTCCCCTTGAAACTTCTCCCAGGTTGCCCCTGGGTTCAGCCACACCCGAAGGCAGAACATGCCACATGAGCCTGAGAGCTGGGGAATGTTCCCAGATAACACACATTGTCCTTCAGTCTTTTTTCATTCTTTGCTTTTATTATTATGTTCAATGGACACATAATAATTATACACATTTGTGGGGTACAGTGTGATATGTTGATAATGTATACAATGTGCAATGATCAAATCATGGTAATTAGCATATCTATCACCTCAGACATTTGTCATTTCTTTGTGTTGGGAACATTCCAGACCTTGTCTTCTAGCTATTTGAAACCATGCAGTAAGGTGTTGTTGACTGTAGTCACCATACAGAGCTATAGAGCACCAGAATCTATTCCTCCTATCTAGCTGTCAGCCTTGCTGCTCGGCAGCCTGCTCTTTCTGGGTTTGCCTTGGTCAATGAAGGAAACTGCATGCTTACCGTTACTAGTTAGAAATTTCAAAATCCATTTTCCCTCTTTGTGGAGAGCAGAAGCCACATCTAATTCGAAACTGGGATATTTTGCTTTAATTAGCCATCCAATACATTGAACAACAGGAACTTTAATATATGACACATCCAGCAACAGTGGCTTGAGGAATAAAGGCCTCATGAATAGCAAATGGCATAGTGACAAAAACAACCCCAAAACGTTATTTCTTAGTTGGGAAAAGAAAGTGTTGAAAATTCTCACGGTACTGAAGCTGCAGGACACATTTCCCTCTGGAGGAAGTTGAGGAAGGGGGTGGTAGAGGAATTTGTGGAGAGCAGAAGCCACATCTAATTCGAAACTGGGATATTTTGCTTTAATTAGCCATCCAATACATTGAACACTTTAATATATGACACATCCAGCAACAGTGGCTTGAGGAATAAAGGCCTCATGAATAGCAAATGGCATAGTGACAAAAACAACCCCAAAACATTATTTCTTAGTTGGGAAAAGAAAGTGTTGAAAATTCTCACGGTACTGAAGCTGCAGGACACATTTCCCTCTGGAGGAAGTTGAGGAAGGGGGTGGTAGAGGAATTTGAGTGGGTTTTCTTGGAAATTGCCTTTTCTTCTACAACCAAGTATTTAATTGGGACTTTCTTTCTTTTCATTTAATTTAATTTTTATTTTTAATTGACAAATAATAATTGTATATATTCATGGGGTACAGTGGGATGTTTTGATATATTTACACATTGTAGAATGACCAAATCAGGGTAATTATCCATTACCTCAAATATTTATCATTTCTTTGCAGTGGGAACATTTACAATTCTCCCTTTTTAGCTATTTTGAAATATGCAATACATTATTATTAACTATAGTCTCCTTGCAATGCAATAAAACACCAGAAACTTATTCCTCCTGTCACTGAAACTTTGCATCCATTGAACAGTGTTCCCCTCTCCACTTCTGTGAGTTTGACTTTTTTAGATTCCACACATAAGTGAGTCCATGTGATATTTGTCCCTCTGTGCCTGGCTTACTTTACATATCAATGGATAAATGGATTAAAATATGTAGTACATATACACAATAGAATATTATTCAGCCTTTAAAAACCAGGAAATTCTGTCAGTTGGGACTTTCTAAAGAAATTATTTAGGCAACTACATAACATCAGAGATAGACTTATTCAGAGGATAGGAGTGAGGAATTTTTTTGTCATCTCTAGAAGCAATCCTTAGGATTACAGTACTTTCTAGATTCCTGTTTCTGGGCCACTGAGGGTCATCAGATGGGATCCTCCTTCATTTTCCATACTTATTCGTGCTTACTTACCATCTCATATTGCTGGGGAATAAGCCAGCTCCCATCAGAAACTGCATGTTCCAGTTTTAAATTCCTGGAAACTTGTTTCTTTGATTCCTTCATGACCAAAACATCTTTCAGTCCTTACTTACATGATGTTTCTGTGGCATTTGCCACTGGTGACTTTCTCATTCTTCTTGAAACCTTCTCTACCTAGATCTTGGGACATCACCCTCTCCAGTTTGTCTTCCTAGCTCCTCCCATTTCTTCTTAGCCTTCTGTGAAGGTTCCTCTTCCTCTACTTAGCTCTTGAATCCTGACATCTCCCAAGTTTCTTTGGACTCTCCTCTGTTATTCTGCTTGTTCCCCAGCCTGATCTCGTCCATTTCCGTATTGTTAACTTCCACTCTGTGTGGATGATTCTCAGCTCACTCACTGGAGTTCTAGATCCTACATCCAGCTTCTTCCAGAAGTCTTTAGTGGGAAGTCCACAAGTACCTTAAACTCAACATGTCCCAAACGGCATCCGCTATTGTTCTAGAGAACAGTGCACCCACTCCTTTGCATCGCCTCTCTGCGACTGGCACTCCATCTAGCCAGTTGTCTGACCCACCATTGAAAGTCAGCCTTGACCTTAACTTATGCACCCTAACTCCCTTTCTGAACATCTTGCTGATGACCAACTTCTGTGACTCTGCCCTCTACACCTCTCATATCCATATTCTTATTTTCAATCCCTGCTCTCCATCCCTCATTACATTAATAGAACCTTCTTATTTTTTCCTGGATTGTAACAAGTACTTTTCTAGGAGTTAGCCCTGCTTCTAGTTGTGTCCTTCTCCAAATCATTCTCCGTGTTTGCCTCCAAAGATATCTCTCCAAAAACATATTATTCCCCTGTTTAAAATCTGTCACCTGCCCTATAAAGGCAAAAATCTCTGCAATAGTCCAAGATCCTCATTCTTCAATCTCTTCAAATTTTCCTTTCTTCTTTCACCTCTTTGCCTCTTCCATGCTTTCCCTTGTGCACCAGCTACACTAAGCTCTTTGCAGTTCCTCAAATGTGTTGTATTGTTTATCATGCTGCTTTCTCCTCTTTGAGGACTCAACTCAATGGACTTCCCATGGAAGTCTTTTCTGACTCCATGTCCCATCGGGCAGAATTGACTGCTGCTTACTATACGCACCTGCTATCACCGGCAGATGTCTTCAGTAGCATCTCTGCCAATTTATTGGGCCTCTTCATGTGTGAATCAGGCTCTGTCCAGTAAATTATAAATCCTTCTAAAGGTTGAGAGCACATGTTATACATCTTTGTACCCCTTGTGTCTGGCACCATATATGGCCAAATCTTGGGGTTCAAGAAATGTTCAGGAGTGAATGGGTCTATGAATGACTGATCCTAATCACATTGCATCTCTTTCACAAAGTCTTTCCTATCTGTCTGGGGTATTTGGTGACCATTTCCTTATCTGAGATCCCATGCCACTTGTTTGGCATTTTGAGTGTGCTACTTTGTTTTATCATTTGTACTACGCCCTGCCTCTCCATTTAAATTTTGACTTCCTTAGTGTATGTGATCATGTCCTGTTCTTTATATCTGTAGTGCTTTATGGCCATTCAACAAATATTTTTTGATGAAACAGCATTAACTTACTTTTGTGTGTGAAAACCTTTTTTTATGATGGGTTAAGACAATTTCATTTGCCAGCCTTCCCCTATTCAGTTTCCTAACTTATGTACATCATTGTATAACCCAAGTGTCAGCTATGTGCTCCTGGCTCTAAACGGTCTAACTGAGGTCAGTTTGAATCCTATTCCTTGTTCTGTAGTAGTCTAAAGCTCAGCCCTCCCCAAGACTCCTGCCAGTCACCTGGGGGTTTACATTCTCACTGTCTCCTTACCACGAATGTCCTGCTTTCTCAGTGCATGGATTGTCTTGAAACCCCTGCTGTCATACCGAGGTATGAATTGCAGCCACTTCCTTAATTTCTACCTTTCTAACTACATAAATTAATATAATTTATTAAAGATAAGTTGAGGCCAGGCATGGTGGCTCATACGTGTAATCCTAGCACTTTGGGAAACTGAAGTGGGAGGATTGCTTGAGGTCAGGAGTTAGAGGACCAGCCTGGACAACATAGTGAGACCCCGTCTCTACAAAAAATAAGAAAAATTAACAAGGTGTGATGATGTGCACCTGTAGTCCCAGCAACTCAGGCTGAGATGAGAGGATTGCTTGAGCTCAGGAGTTCAAGGTTGCAGTGAGCTGTGATTGCACTGCTGTACTCCAGCCTGGGCAACAGAGTAAGACCCAGTCTCAAAAAAAAAAAAAAAGGAAAAAGATCAGTTGAGGAGGAGGATAGAAGAGGTACTTACATTGCAATTTCAAATTGGACACTAATAACGACAAGAGAAATAATATCTGCTAAATACTAGGCACTATTCTTAGTGATTCATATTTGTTAACTTGGCTAGTTCTCAAACAACTTAAGAGGTAACACATATATTATCCTATCTTACTGAAGAAGAAACTGAGATAGACCACAGCTCACATAGACAGTTAGAAATAGAGCCAGGTTGTTTCAAACCCATACAGTCTGCTCTTAGCCACAGTTAACATCTCCTTTCAGAAATAACCTTCCCCATCCTCACCCCTGGAAAATTTCATGGGGGATTCACCCTGCATCATGCTCTCTTCTTTCTCCATCCTCATTTCACTTTCCTTTTTTGCCTCTCCCACTTTTTGTCACACAGACCTGTTTATCCATCTCCCTTAGCTCCTAAAAATAAAGAAAACAAAAACAAAACCTTAAAATTTCCCCTTACACTCTATACAACTTATGAAGGAAGCTCCCCAAGCAAAAAACCATATCTTTAATAAGAGAAAACCTAATGCTACCTGTTGAGGTTGTATAAATATATGTGAAACATACTTTTAGTCTTCATTAAAATCATGCTGTTCAGCATTGTAGAATTCTGGCTTATAAAAGTTATCCTTTTTTAACAATAATCTATTGTTTTGAGCTTAGGAAGTTACTTTATAAATTTAGTGGTTCAGAGTCAGAAAATTTAGATTTAAATTCTAGCTCAACCACTCTCAAGTTATGTAATATTGGGCAAGTCACTTACCTTTACTTAACCTCATTTTATTAATTATAAAATAGAAATAAGAACACTCTGTTCATCACACTGTTGGACTTAAAGTATCCATGAGGTGATGTATGAAGAAGAACTGTATAAATTATTAAACTTTGTTTTAATAGAGCCACAATGTTTCCATAACTCCTCATTAATATATTGGAACTTCCTTCCACCTTCTAACCCCATTATATTGAAAATATTAGGGCTTAAGCATCAGCTTAATTCGTGGGACCCTAGAGGTCTGTGAATGCTGCATCAATCCTTTGAATTAACAGAACCAGCATGACTATTTTACTATAGTTGCTATGGTTACTGTGACTTTTTGGCCTGCTTCCTTGAGGGCTTGCTAGCCCTCTGCTTAGGAGCTTCCCCTTGGAGGTGTGAAGCTGACATCTAAGGCTTCATAAAACACTCTGTGTGTATATATATATGGCCCATATGGAAAATTGCAAGACAGGAAACCATTTCGAGACCTGATGTCGTTAAGTGTAACTTACAATCCCGAGACCTGTGCATCACGGTTGCAGGCATTCCCTTAGGAAAGCGTCTCTGCAGAAGGCAAACTCCCCAAAATTGGCTGTTTAAATTTTCTTATATTGGATTATGACCAGCTCTGCTTGATCTGGAAATTATTTTTTTTTCTTATGTTTTCTTCATACTGTCTCTCATCAAGCTTATATAGCTCTCTTGGATTATTATCTTTATTAATTTTTACTATGTTTCTTTTGTATGTCTTATATCTATCTCATAATTTTGGTATTAATAATTTATAATTTCCCCACCCACTGCAAATTCTATCTTCCCGGGAGTGTGTGATCTTTTCTCTCTCCTCCCTCTTATCCTGGATACTTCCAGAAAGCACTGAGTAGATGATGATTAGGGTAAATATTCCCAAGGCCCAATATTTCCATGTCTTACTAAGATATATTTTATCATATCCTCTCTACATCATTATTCACTGTAAAGCAGAATTTATTTTAGGGTGGGTTTGTCCTAGACTCCATGTGAAGCAATGTAGCTAATGAGTACCAAAAGAACTTCATACCTATTCATCAGTGGGTTCCCATGAGTGAGGCTACCATGGTAACACATTCTAAACTAATATACTAAGTTAGATAAAGAGAAAAATAACTCCTTGTAACTTTCCATAAGCTCATGTTTATACAGGATGACCATTGGATTTGTGGCTGTTTTCCACTGTAGATTGCAAACTCTTTACACTTTAGATTACAAACTCATGAGGACAGGGATTGTGATTTCCTTTTTGTTCTATTCCTTAGTGTTAGCATCAGGGCTGGCACATAGTAGGCACTCAATAAATATGTGTGGAATCAATGCATGACTTAATAATACTTAAAGAACTCTTTCCATACAACTTCTTACAGTGTCCTTATACATTTTTTGAAAAATATATAACCAGTAAGGATAAATTAAATAGCGTATAAAAATGTGTTAGAGTTTAGTGGAAAGTGCTAAGTATATACTAGCTATTATTAGCATATATTAAATAGTACAGGACACTGGCAAAGGCTGTCAATTTATGAAATAATAGGTAGCACATTAAATGTGTGCTTTTATCTATAATGCTTATTTTTATTTCAAGCATAAAAACACTGTTTGTCTCTCCTTGGATATTGATATCTTAAAATATGTTTTCTTGCAGTATTCTTTCTACCAGCAGTTACATGAACAAAAAAAGTCAGAAAAATTCTTCAAAGTTCTCTATGATCGAATGAAGGCTGCTCAGAAAGAGATAAGATCAACAGTGACAGTTAATACCATAGATTTAGGTAGCAAAAAAAGGGACGATGACAGTGAATTGATGACATCTGGTCCACGAATGAGAGGTAAAGAAGTATTTGAGTATTTGGGAGAATAGAGTGAGAGAAAAGAGGGTAACAACGTTTAAATCTCACTTATCTTTGTTATCTCACTTCTCTTGGTTTAATTACCCCCACTGGGGCTCTGATCATCCATAAAGAATTTCGGTCGTGGATTTGACCCTAAAACATCTCTGCAGGATCAAACTTAAATGAGACATAATCAGTGGAAGGCAACCAGAGACATGAAAAATGTTTGATTTCATTGTGGCATGCGTGGTAAAGAATAACTGCCCCAAACCTTTTAAGTGACCATGAAAATTAAGCTCTAAAAACAGAAATTTTAGCACCCAGTGCCAAGAAAAAGATTCCTATTATTTCAAATGACAAAATCATCAGTGTATTAAATACAAATCATAAAGATATTAACATTTTGAAGTTTGTCACATCATTTTTCCTACATTCTCACCTATGTGAAATATATGTATATTTCTGATATATATCGGAAAGACAGGGGTTCTTCTAAATTTCTCATTGGGAATTTGACATTTTGGTTGCTACTTCAAATCCTTTTTTTTAAATTACTGCACCTCTTATCAGATGATTTTTAATTCAATTGTTAGAGAATGTCTTTTTTTTTTTTAATTAGCAAAAGGAAGTTGGTTCAGGTATATAAGAGTACTGCTTTATTTTCAGTAAGAGATTCATCATTACATTTAAAAGAGGGAATGAAAGGGCAATTAACAGAAGCTTCTTCGGCAACATCCAAAGCATATTGTGTATACAGAAGAGAAATGGATCCGGAAATAGACATTATGTGCACAGGACCAGAAGCGGGAAATGCTGAGGACAAGTCTGCGGAGGAGGTGACAATGAGTCCTGCAATTGCCATCATGCAGCCAATACTGAGATTCCTTCAGCTGCTGTGTGAGAATCACAACCGCGAACTGCAGGTATTTGTCCTGTTTTGTGTGAAAGCTGAGAACACGGCGTGTGGTTATAAGTAATTAAATTCCAGTAAAACAGACAAGTAGTTTTGGAGAGTGTTTTGGAAAGATAATCAATAAAAGCAATGTGCTCTTCTGAAATGGGAAGAAATTTTTGTATCAGTGAAGAAGAATTAAAGGAAAATTCCTTTATGCAAGAAAAAAAATCAGGCTTATACAGTATCATTCTGTGTATGCTCAACGCAAATCTTTTTAGCTTCAATGGGCATCATCTATTCGTAGTATTTAGTATTTATTGAGTAAGGCCATATTTATCTCATCTGTATCTTTCATGATTTCATATACTTAAAGGACTTTCGTTATTTCCAGCCCAGTTCGTATTTCTTGAGTGAGGATGCTGAGTATATTTGTATGTCTTAATTAGAAACAGTTATATAGAAGAGGATTTTCTACAAGAATGAAGGTTGATACCTTTGTAAATGAATGTAGTTGTTGTCTTTCATCTTCTTTGCTACATTCCCCTTTGTCACTCTTAGGGGTGCCTATGAATTTTGGCCTCTTTTTTGCATTTGCATGGGGAATCAGTAGCCTTCTGATTTCAAGATTGTTTTTTTTAAGCACCAAAAGAGGCAAGAAAAGCTTCATCTTTCCCTAATACATTCCTTTTAGTAAAAGGATTTGTTCTGTAAAATTTGGATTTAGTAAAAAGGCCACACTTAAGGACCTAGAAAGCCACATGTGGCCTTCAGGCCTCAGGTTCCCCACTCTTGAGAGATTATATAATATCTGTTCAAATATTT